GAACCGGATATACCGCCAGCGGGGCCAGGACCGGTTCGAACCGGCTGGTACACCGCGGGTAGTCGCGATGCCCGCCGCGGTCCTCGCCGCGCCTCGACGCGGTCCTCGCCGCGCCTCGACGCGGTCCGTGGGGACAGGAGGGCGACTCATTCTGATTCCGGCCGGCGCGGCGGCGGCACTAGATGCAGATGCCCTCGGCGTGGACGGCGCGGGGCCTCGCGCTGCCGGAATGCCAACGCGGTGCTGGCGGCCCTGCTCCACCGCGGCCAGCCCAGGCCGGCCGGCCGGCTGCTTGTTTTCGGCGAGTTTGCGCACTTTGGTGCTTTCGGGCGGCATCGGGCGGCCCGCTTGGTGGGGGTGCGAGTGGCCGCCAGGTGCCAACGAGCTCTAAATGCGCGGCTTAGCGATCGCGGCGAGGCGAGGCACGGCGGCCGCACTACCTGTGACGCCCTGGCGCCGCCGGCCCGCCGCCCGCAGACTCATTCCGAGAGTCGTCTTCGTCGCTCTGTCTTTCTCGCACTCGAGGGGCATGCTGAGTGGGTGGGAGAGACACGGGGCGACGAAAGCGACTCTCGGAATCGGTCAGCTGGTCCTGAGGGCGCTAAAGTACCGGGGCAGCGCGCATCTCGCGTACCCAGCGCCAGTGGTCCAAGACCCTCGCCGCGGTCGCGACGCCGCCAGCGCCGCGCGCCCCGCCCCGCCCGCCCCGCGTGGCCATGGACAGCGACACCGACCCGCTCACGACCGCGGAGGTGTACTTCTCGGACTGCGTCGGCAGCGCCGAGAAGCTGAACCAGGCCGCGGCGGACAACCCGAACCGCTACGGCGCCATCCGCAAGGTGTACCCCGCCCGCGACTACAGCTCCTCCGCCGCCTCCGCCGCCTCCACCCGCGACACTGGCGGCAGCTCGGACAGCAGCGACGAGTCGGACAGCCGGTAGGGCAGTGTGGGTGCAAGGAGAGCGGGCAGTAGGCTGACTCCGAGAGACCTCTCCGTCGCTCTGTCTCTCTCGCACCTATACGGGATGCCCTACGAGTGCGAGAGAGACAGAGCGACGAAAAGGGCTCTCGGAATAGGTCTGCAGGAACACCCCAGCCGGTACCCGGCCGGCGGCCGCAGTTGCGCTCCAACTGACGGAGGGGTGTTCGGCCCCTCTCTTTGGTACCCACACTGACGCGGCTGCCTGACCTTGGCCCTGGCCTCCAGCGAGAGCGCGGCGGCGCGGCGTCGCCGGGATGGCATGTGGCGCGCGGACAGCTTCGCCGACGCGGACGGCTACGTGGAGTCCGTGCGGCGGTGCTCCTCCGCCAGCTCCACCTCCACGACGACCAGCAGCTGCGGCTACTTCGAGGACAGCCTGCAGCTGGAGCCGCCGGGCTTCACGCTGTACGCGGGGTGGCGGCGCCCGTCGCAGGGCGTGCAGGGCGTGCTGCAGCCGCCGCCGGGCTTCGGCCCCGGGCGCACGGTGCGCCGCATGAGCGAGGCCGTGGCCGGCGCCGTGGCCAACACGCGCAAGGCGTCCGTCGGCCTCGTCGAGCTCGGCGGCATGGCGTCGCGCAAGGCCTCCATCGCCTTCCACGACGTCGTCGACTTCGCCGCGGCCGCGGCCGCCCTCTCGCGCAAGGCGTCGGCGCACGTCATCGAGGTCCTGGAGCTGGAGCTGCAGGAGCTGCCCGGCATGCGGTGCCTGCAGAACCAGGGCCAGGGCCCCGGCCAGGGCGTCGCCTTCCAGCGGTTCTCTTACGCCGGTTCGTCGCTGCGGCGTCCGTGAGTAATGCGTCGCCCTTCCGGGGGTGGGGGTGGGTCCGGGTGGAAAGCCGCCTGGAAAGGAGGCACGAAGTCGCACTTTATGCCTTTGAAGGGAGCAACTTAGCGATATCACATCCACCCCCTCCTCCCTACACACGTCTCCGGATCCATCCTTGGCGCCCTTCCCGCCACCTCGATGTCCTCGACGTGCCCGACGTCCCGGTCGTTCTCGACTTCCCCGACGACGTCCCCGACGTCCTCGACTTCCTCGGGGTCCTCGACGTCCCCGTCGTCCTCGGCGTCCTCGGCGTCCTCGACGTCCTCGACGTCCCCGACGTCCCCGTCGTCCTCGACGTCCCCGTCGTCCTCGACGTCCCCGACGTCCCCCGTCCCCGAGGTCCCGGGGCCCGACCCGTGGCGCCTAGGAAGGCCCCGGGCTGTCCTCGGCGTCCTCGACGTCCCCGACGTCCCCGACGTCCCCCGTCCCCGAGGTCCCGGGGCCCGACCCGTGGCGCCTAGGAAGGCCCCGGGCTGTCCTCGGCGTCCTCGACGTCCCCGAGGTCCCCGACGTCCCCGACCTCCCCGAGGTCCCGGTGCCCGACCCGTGGCGCCTAGGAAGGCCCCGGGCTGTACTCGGCCTATTTCGGGCGGCGGGCGGGGCGTGCTCGGCATGCACGCCGGCCTGGACGGAAGGACGGACGGACGGACAAACTGCAAAGTCACAGCAATTAGGTAAACTGGACCGCTCTGCCTGGGATGCAGCATGCAGCCGCTGGTTGCCGCGCAAGTGGAAATGCCGCAATGCCGCGGACCGCCGCGGACGGCGACAACAAAGACCGCAGTCCGCCACGTGCTGTTCGCAGTGCAGCAGACTGATCCCGAGAATCGTTTTCGTCGCTCTGTCTCTCTCGTACCTACACGGCACGCCCCATGAGTGCGAAAGACACAGAGCGAAGAAAACCACTCTCATAATCAGTCTGCTGCTCCCGAAGCACCTGCACTGCAACCCCTCCCCCCATTTTCCATCTTCTCCCTCACCATGCGCAGACCCCAGGATTTTCTTAGGAAGCGGTTAAAGGAGTGCTTTTGCCCACGTGCAGGGAGGGAAGTGGTGCTTGTTGCCTACCATCTCGGTGGCGATTTACCCTCATCCCCATTACCCTGGCCCCAGATCCGTGCCTGACAGTAACACATGGACCAGCGTTTCGTTGCCGACTCTGACCACGGCCGCGCGGAGCCCTGGGGGACCCCGGAGGACTTAGAGACATGATCGGCTCTCCGCGGTTTGCGCAATACCTCGTGTTGCGCGTTGCAGCACCGGCCGGACCGAAACCGACACAGAGCCTCGGTCGCTCTGTCTCCGTCGCACTCATGGGGCGTTCCAGCGGTGCGAGAGAGACAGCGCGACGGAGATGGGATCGCTCTGCTGGCGGCCATGCGGCGCGATGCGGCGCCTCCCCCGACCTTTGCCTCGTCCTTTGCATGGTCACGCATGGGCATCGCGTGCGTCGCGTGCGGCACTACAATTGGCCGCACGGCACGCGGCCAGCAGGCCGCCGCACAGTGGGCCAGAGAACCGGTGGGGCGCCCAAAACTAGAGACGCGTTTTGAGCTCCAGAGTCGCTAAGTGGGACTCGAACCGAACGTGTGACCCCACCAATAGATTCCTCGTTCGGAGAGCAATCCATTGATGGGGTCACACGTTCGGTTCGAGTCCTGTTTTTAGCGACTCTGGAGCTCAAAACGCGTCTGGAGTTTGGGCCGCCTCTACCGGTCTTCTGGCCCACTGTGCACCGTCGCTCTGTCTCTCTCGCGTTCATGGAGCGGTCCAGCATAGGTGCGAGAGAGACGGACAGGGCGACGACGAGAGCGACTCTCGGAGTCAGTCTGCAGTCGGCCGACGTCCGCGCACGCGGCCGGGAGGGCGCCACACGCGGCGGCCGGCCCGGCGCCCGGACCGCCCAGACCCAGCAGCCCGCCAGCCGGCCAGCCCGCCCCCGCGCGGCGCGGCGCAGCATCTGTCCGAGCCCAGCCAGCTGGGACGCGCTGCGCGAGGCTGTGCGCCGCGACGCCGGCATGGCGGCCCATCCCGGTGACAGTATTGGTCCCGACATGCACGCGCGCGTGGCGAGCGCCACAGAGCGCCATGGAGGCTCGCGAGCGTGGCGACCTTGGACTCCGGTTACCAAGGGCGCCGTCGGGCCGCGGCGCGCTCCGCTCGGGGACGCGCGCCGCGCCGCGCCATGTCCCATCCCATGCGCCGTCCCATGTCCTGCAGCAGACTCATTCCGAGAGCCGTCTTCGTCGCTCTGTCTCTCTCGCACCCATACGGGACGCCCCGCGAGTGCGAGAGAGACAGAGCGATGAAACCGACTCTCGGAATGAGTGGGCACTACAGGCTGAGGCGCAGGCCGGGCAGGTCGGCCGGCCCCGGCGTGGATCGCGTGGCGTGTGGCCGCGAGCGGCGCGGTGTCCAGGGCCGCGCTTATCAGCGGGCCGAGGCCCGGCCCTCCTGATGAGCATCCTGCATCCTGCTCGTGTAATTGACCGCATTGTCCGACAGACGCACTGCCGCAGCGCCGCGTCGCCACGCTCCGCGTGCAAGTCTCCGCGCGCCCAGTCGCCCCGTCTCGCTCGCACTCATGGGGCGCCCCGTGGGGGTGCGAGAGAGACAGAGCCTCAGCCTCGGTTTGGGAAATCACAGTTGACGGATCCGGAAAGACGGCGAGCTATGATTGCCTATTTACACAGACGGTCGGTCCATGAGTGACTTTCTGCGTCTTCGAGGCGGTGCGGTGCAGCGTGCAGGCCTTGCGGTGCGGCGGTGCCTTGGGGGCTGTTGCCCGTCGCCTTGGACGACGCTTTCACACCGCCGCTCCCCCTTGTATCTCTCTGCCCAAGTCTCCCGAAATTGACCTGTCATGTCGCTGTCTTTCTGTCTGTCTGTCTGTCTGTCTGTCTGTCTGTCTGTCTGTCTGTCTGTCTGTCTGTCTGTCTGTCTGTCTGTCTGTCTGTCTGTCTGTCTGTCTGTCTGTCTGTCTGTCTGCGTCTGTCTGTCTGTCTGTCTGTCTGTCTGTCTGCTCTGTCTCTGTCTTGTCTGTCTGTCTGTCGTCTGTCTGTCTGTCTGTCTGTCTCGCTTCTGTCTGTCTGCTCTCTGTCTCGTCTTGTCTGTCTGTCGTCTGCGTCCTGTCTGTCGCCGTGTCTGTCTACCGCAGCCTGTCCGTTCTGACCGTGTGTCCGTGTGTTGCAGCCACGCCGAGTACGACTCGTCCTCCAGGAGCTCGTCGTGCAGCTCGGTGTCGGAGGGCGCGGCGCACCGGCCGACGCGGCGCGGCCACTGGGCCAACCGCGCCCAGTTCATCCTGGCCTGCGTCGGGTACTGCGTGGGCCTCGGCACCGTCTGGCGCTTCCCGTACCTGTGCTACCGCAGCGGCGGCGGTGAGTACCGGCAGCGCACTCTCTCGCACTCGCGGTGCGTCCCGTGAGGCAGCGAGAGAGACAGCGTGGAAAAGCAGTGCTCGGAATCGGCCAGCAGGGGCGGAACAAGAGGCAGTTCCAGGGGTCAGAGTTGCCGACTTGACTTACAGGTGCAATGGAGTGTATTTGCCAACCCTTGGCGCCTTCCGTCCCCCTCTGGCTCCGTGCTTGAGCAGCGCAGTGTTTACCGTGTCTCTCGCACCCCTGTGGAACGCCCTGAGAGTGCGAGAGGACGACGGAATCGGTGCTCGGAATCGGCTTGAGAAGTGGAGCAGGCTCCGAGCCCCGGATCAGGCTTCTGTCTCTGCCTCCTTTTTGCTGCAGACTGCAGTCCTGCTGCGAGGCATGCAGGGCGTCCTTGAATCACGGGGGCAGCAGGGCGAAGCAGGGCCGAGGGAATGGATGTGACACCCAAGACGCTCGCGGCCTCAGCCTGGAGCGGGCGAAGCCGGGCGAAGCTGCTTACATTAGCCGGCCAGCAGACTGATTCCGCGAGACGTTTTCGTCGCTCTGTCTCTCTCCCACTCACGGGGCGTCCCGGGCAGGTGCGAGGGAGACAGAGCGACGAAAGCGACTCTCGGAATGGGTCTGCTGCGCCTGGCAGGCGAGTTGGAGGGGCCCCGGGCCTGCATGGTGACAGTCCGACGGTCCGACAGTCCGCGGATGGCCGCGCACACTCGTAAAGACGCAAAGACGCAGACCTGTTAAGATAAAGACCCGATCGCCTCGGAGCGGAGCGAAGCGAAGCCAAGCAAAGCGGAGCGGCAAGGGAGCGGCGCAACCCGTCCCCCAATGTCACACTGTGGCGGGGCGGGGCGGGGCGGGGCGGGGCGGGGCGGGGCGGGGCGGGCGGGGCGGCGGGCGGGGCGGTATGGCCCGCGGCGGTGCCGGCTGCCGGCCGAGGCGTGGCAGGCAAAGCACTGCGACAACGCGAAGCAAGGCGCGAGGGCGTCGCATCTCGACGACGGCGAGCTTCCCCGGACGCCCAGCCTGGTCCTCCGAACGGCCGCCTACCGCGTACTCCGCCAAGCAGCCGCCAAGGGTCTCGGTGTCCTGCCCGCCGCGTCATGCCATGGAGACGTTCGCCACTTGCAGCCTGCCCGAAGGCTCACTCCAAGCACTGCATTCGACGATGCCCCTTTCGCTGCCTCACGGTGCGCCCCATGGGTGCCAGGGAGACAGAGAATGAGCCTGCTGCAGCGCGGCGGGCCGGACCGCATTGATAAACGCGCAAGTGGAGCAAGGGCACACCGAGGTGAGGCGGCGGCCAAGGCGCGGAACGCCGCGGGCTCTCACTCTCCCTCTCTCACTCTCTCGAGCTAATCCTAATCGGTTCTCCTCAAGATAGCGGCAATAAAGCGGCGCGGCGGCGATCGGGAAGTCACGGCGGGCAAGGCGGCCGTCTGGCGGGCCGCCGCGGCGCGACGCCAGCAAGTGGATGATCACCGAGAGCTCAATGCACCCCGCAAACCCGTCGCACAAGGCGGCGGCGTCCTGGGCCGCCTGCAGGGTAGGCAGGCCGCAGCACACGCCTGCTCGACGGCACGGCCTACCTGGGCCGCCTGCAGGGTAGGCAGGCCGCAGCACACGCCTGCTCGACGGCACGGCCTACCTGGGCCAGGGTAGGCAGGCCGCAGCACACGCCTGCTCGACGGCACGGCCTACCTGGGCCAGGGTAGCAGGCCGCAGCACACGCCTGCTCGACGGCACGGCCTACCTGGGCCGCCTGCAGGGTAGGCAGGCCGCAGCACACGCCTGCTCGACGGCACGGCCTACCTGGGCCAGGGTAGGCAGGCCGCAGCACACGCCTGCTCGACGGCACGGCCTACCTGGGCCAGGGTAGGCAGGCCGCAGCACACGCCTGCTCGACGGCACGGCCTACCTGGGCCGCCTGCAGGGTAGGCAGGCCGCAGCACACGCCTGCTCGACGGCACGGCCTACCTGGGCCGGGTAGGCAGGCCGCAGCACACGCCTGCTCGACGGCACGGCCTACCTGGGCCGCGAGGGTAGGCAGGCCGCAGCACACGCCTGCTCGACGGCACGGCCTACCTGGGCCGCCTGCAGGGTAGGCAGGCCGCAGCACACGCCTGCTCGACGGCACGGCCTACCTGGGCCGCCTGCAGGGGCGTCGGGGAAAGTGTCCCGCCACTGCAAGCGGCATGCAGCCGACTGTACTTCTACGGCACGGCGTGGCGCGGCGCGGCGCGGCGCTCCTCGCAATCAGACATTCGCCCGCCTCCTCCTCGTGGACCGCGGCGTCGCTGCCGTCGTCGCGTCAGCTGGAGTGCATCGCCCTGCCGCCGGGACGCCCCCCACCCCCGCCACGCCGCCTTCCCTTCCGCGACGGCGATTAACTTTGAACCAAATTTGCGGGCCACAACACTGCAAAGGAGAGATCAAAATGTTTCGGAAACTTTCAGCTGAATTTGCGACTTCTTCGGATTCAATCGGCATGGTGGCAGATGATCGTTGAGGCAAGGTGCCACTTGCGTGCAGTGGGCAGGAATGGGGAGGGCGATTCGAACCGCATTCTTCTTGTGTGCTAGTCCGTGACATGCCGCCTTTGGCTTTGCAGGCGTGTTCCTCATCCCGTACTTCGTGACGCTGCTGCTGCTCGGCATCCCCATGCTGTACATGGAGATGTCCATGGGCCAGTTCACCCGCAGAGGGCCCATTGGCGCGCTCTCCATGCTGTGCCCGCTTTTCAAAGGTACGCCTCGAGGTGCGCCCCGCCAGCCCCGCCAGCGCCGCACAGTGGATTTGCAAGAAGACCGGTGGAGGCGGACCGGGGTTTTGGCCCGGCCAAAATTCAAAGATGGGCCCCGTTTTGGAGCCCCAAAGCGGTCGCTAATGGACTCAAACCGTCGTGTGGCCCCCACCCTGAATGTGCGTTGCTCTCCGAACGAGGAATCCAATGGTGGGGGTTACACGTTCATCATCCTTTTTAGCGCCCTCTAGCAGCTCAAAACGCGTCTACTGTTTGGCCTCCTCCGAGCGCCCTGAACTCGTGCCCCCCTCTCCCTGGGGCTTGGTTGGGTACGTATTCTTTATTGTTTATCCACAGGTCATATTCGAATGTCCGGGGGAAGATGCGGGCTGTCGAGCGTCATCATCTCCTTTATCATGAGCACCTTCTACAACGTGCTCATCGCCTACTCGCTGTACTACCTGTTCTCGGCCTTCCGGTCCGAGCTGCCCTGGAACTCGTGCGGCCACCGCTGGAACTCTCCGGTCTGCTGGTCGGGCCAGGGCGGCCAGCTGCACGGCGTCAACGACTCCCGCCCCGGGTAGATTGGCCCTCCAATGTCTTCTGGCCCCGTGCGTGGGGCCAGAGACTTTTCTTGCGCGTGAGCTCTCGCTACCAGGCTCAGTCGTGCCCGTGTGAAGCCCGTTGGCGACCACTCACCTGTGCTTCTAGAGCCCACTTTGGCCCGCGCCGCTAACTTCTTTGCGCTTTCATGGCCCGAGCGTGTGCTTCGGTGAATAGACCCCTGTGCCACCACTGGATTCCTCTTCCGGAGAGCAATCCATTGATGGGGTCACACGTTCGGTTCGAGTCCTGGTTAGCGACTCTGGAGCTCAAAACGCGGGTAGAATTTTGGCCACCTCCACCTGTCTTCTGGCCCACTGTGCGTGGCCGCGCCAGCTCAACTTTTCTTTGCGCGTCTTCTCGGCCGCGGCGTCGTCGTGTCCGCGTGAATAGAAGCCCCCGATTGGCTAATGGTGCCCAGAGTGACGGACAAAAGCCGATCCCGCAGACTGATTCCAAACCAAGTCGCTCCGTCTCTCTCGCACCGACACGGAGCGGCCCACGAGTGCGAGGGAGAGGGAGCGCGCAGTTTCGGAATCAGCGTGTCGGACAACACGCGGCGCGATGGCGTTGAGGGTCGCCTGGAGGTTTGGCCGCCGGCGAGGCCCTGGGCCTGGGCCTGGGCCCTGGGCCTGGACCCTGGCCTTCCAGACGCAAAGAGGGCCCTTAACAACCCCCTGCCCCCTCCCCCCTCCGCGCGCCTGTCCGCGCCATCCCGTCCTGGCCAATCAAAATCGGTGGTTCGCTCCGGAAATGCCCGGCCTTTGCGGGCTGGTCGGAAGGTTTCTTTCGAGCGAGGCGAGGGGCGTTCCTCGACCCACGTCTGCAGACTGCTTGGTCGCTCTGTCTCCATCGCACCGACAAAGTGAGCGAGAGTGCGAGAGAGACAGAGCGACGAGAGCGGCTCTGAGTCTGCTGGCTGTGCGGCGGCGCTGCACAGTGGATTTGCCAGAAGACCGGTGGATGCGGCCAAAGCTCCAGACGCGTGTTGAGCTCCGGGGTCGCTAAATGGGACTCGAACCGAACGTGTGACCCCACCAATGGATTCCTCGTGCTGAGAGCAATCCATTGGTGGGGGTCACACGTTCGGTTTGCGTCGTGTGTAGCGACTCTGGTGCTCAGAACGCGTCGAGAGTTTTGGCCGCCTCCGCCGGTCTTCTGGCCCACTGTGCGCTGTGCGGCGCTGTGCGGCGTGTGAGTCCCGGCCCGGCCGTCTTTGCTGTTCCAGGAACAAGGTGCTGCACATGTCCCAGGGGCTGGACCAGCCGCTGTCGCTGCGCTGGGAACTGGTGGCCTGCCTGCTCGTGGCCTGGGTGCTGGTCTACTTCGCCGTCTGGAAGTCGGTGCGCTCCTCGGGCCGCATGCTGTACCTCACGGCCACGCTGCCCTTCGTGCTGGTGCTCGTCTTCCTGGGCAGGGCGCTCACCCTGGACGGCGCCGACGAGGGCCTGCGCTACTTCTTCAAGCCCGTCTGGCACAAGCTCGGCGACGCCAAGGTAACAGCCCCGCCTTTCGCCTTTTTCAGGCGCGGACTTTGGAGGGGAAGGAGGGTGGCTGAGGGTTTTCTGCCCAACCATGGCCCAACATGGGTGTGGGGCACCTTGATCAAGGTGCGTAGAAACGGTATGCCTTAGTCGCATCGTTTCGATACGCTCAAAGCGTTCCGTTTTCTGTGGCGTACGCCCAAGGCGTATACCGTTTCGGGCACCCAGAGTGGCAGTGTAGGCAACCGCCTGAAAGGTACGCAAAATGCCATACTTTGCCGCTGAGAAAGAAAAAGCAGTGGTGAATCCAGAGCCAGCCAGGGAGGGGCGAGGTAGCCAATCTTTTCTACTCATCAAGGCCAAAGTGTGACTTTTTGCCTACTTATCAGGCGGCTACCAAGGGGTGAAAGGAGGGGGAGGGGGTCAATTGTTCTTTTGACCCCTCCCCTTCCCCTCCCTTCTACACTTCTCGAACATGCGCGGTACACTGCACGGTCTGCCTCGTCGCCCCGCAGGTTTGGGTGAACGCGCTGTCGCAGAACTTCAACTCGCTGGGCGTGGCGCTGGGCTCGGTGGTGTCGCTCAGCAGCTACAACCGGTACGACAACCCCATCCTGGTGGACACACTGGCAGTGTCCTTCATCTCCGTGGTGTCGTCCATGCTCGTGGGGCTGTTCGCCTTCGCCACTATCGGCAACATCGCGCACGAGCTCAACACCACCGTGGAGGACGTCATCTCGGACGGTGAGTGGCGCTGCTGGCGCTGCTTTCCGCCCGCCTCGCGGCCGCACAGCTGATTTGCCAGAAGACCGGTGGAGGCGGCCAAAACTACAGACCTAGACGCATTTTGAGCTCCAGAGTCGCTAAATGGGACTCGAACCGAACGTGTGACCCCACCAATGAATTCCTCGTTCGGAGAGCAATCCATTGGTGGGGTCTCACGTCCCAAGTCTCAAGTCCCGTTTAGCAAATCTGGAGCTACGCCTCTAGAGTTTTGGCCTCCTCCACCGGTACCGGTCTTCTGGCCCACTGTGGGGCGCCTCCCTGCCCGCACTGCCGCAGTGTCACATTCGCGGTGTAGGGGCAGTCACTCCGTCGCCCCCATGCATCCACCGGTCTTGTTTCGCGGCAAAGCAAGTGGTGGTTCTACACGGTTAAGGGGGCAAAAGTGGGGGGGGGGGGAGATCATGACCTGTTGCTTCATTGCATGGGTTGGGGACTAAATGCAGCATGCTCCCCCTAGTGCATGAATTTGTGCCTTTCCGGCGACTTTCGTCCCTGATGTGCGCGTGCAACGAGTTTGCCAGCCAACCACGCGAGCCTAAAGTAATGCACTCGTAGACGAGCCGCCTCGCGTTTCTTTGACTGTGGCTTCACAGACGGTCCCCTGGTTCCCCTGCACGCAGGCCCGGGGCTGGTGTTCGTCCTGTACCCGCAGACCATGGCCAAGATGCCGGCGGCGCAGTTCTGGTCCGTGTGCTTCTTCTTCATGATGCTGTGCCTGGGCCTCAACACGCAGTTCGCCATGGTGGAGGTGGTGGCCACGTCGCTGCAGGACGGCTTCTCTGGCTGGATCAAGCGCCACCTCAGCAACCACGAGATGCTGGTGCTCGTCATCTGCGGCATCTCCTTCTTCTTCGGCTTGCCCTGCGTCACCCGGGTAGGGAGTGGGGACAGGGCGGCACCGCTCGACCGGTCGAGGCGGCCGAAACTCTAGACGCGTTTTGAGCTCCCTAGTCGCTAAGCAGGACTCGAACCGAACGTGTGACCCCACCAATGGACTCCTCGTTCGGAGAGCAATCCATTGGTGGCGTCACACGTTCGGTTCGAGTCCTGCTAAGCGACTCCGGAGCTCCAAACGCGTCTACAATTCTGGCCGCCTCCACCGGTCATCTGGCCCACTGTGTGCTCTGCAAGGGCGGAGGGTGCCAAAGCTAATCGTGTTTCCATTTGGCTCGCAGGGGGGCATCTACTTCTTCCAGCTGGTGGACCACTACACGGCGTCCATCAGCATCATGTACCTGGCCTTCTTCGAGGTGGTGGGCGTGGCCTGGCTGTACGGCGCGGGTCGCCTGGCTAGGAACGTCCGCGACATGACGGGCCACATGCCCGGCCTGTACATGCGCGCCTGCTGGTGGGTCGTCTCCCCCGCCACGCTGCTGGTGAGTCCTCGCCTTTCCGCCCTTGCCGTTCACCCGAGGGCTCATTCCGAGCTCTAGTCGTTTTCGTCGGTTTGTCCGTCTCGCGCCTCTACGAGACGCCCGAGGAGACGCCCCACGACAGTCGAAAACGACTCGCGGAATCGGTCTGCCACTTTCGAACCCCAGAAGACTGATTCTGCGCTTTGCGTCCTTGCTCTGTCTCTCTCGCACCCGTATGGGACGCCCTATGAGTGCGAGAGAGATAGATCAACGACGGCCATGTGCGAAATCAGTCGGGCTGATGCTTACTTGTCTTTGCAGGCGGTGTGGGTGTTCTTCCTGATCGACTACGAGCCGCCCACGTACAACAACGGCCACTACCACTACCCCTGGTGGGCCGAGGCGCTGGGCTGGGGCATCGCGTCGCTTTCGCTGGCCGCCATCCCCGTCATGGCCGTGCTGGCCGTGGTCAAAGCGGAGGGCGCCTCGCTCAAGGAGGTAGGGTAGGGCCAAGTCGGCCCTCAGTGTTTTCCCGCTTCTTGCCTGTGCTCCACTAACTGACCAGTGTGCCGACACACTCCACCTGGTGCGAGCTGGTGCATGCACATGCAAGAGCGCTCCAGGTTGCGAGTGTGCACAGTGGCGGCGGTAGTGACTCGGTTTCCTTTGCAGTGTGCCGACACACTCCACCTGGTGCATGCACATGCAAGAGCGCTCCAGGTTGAGTGTGCACAGTGGCGACGGTAGTGACTCGGTTTCCTTTGCAGTGTGCCGACACACTCCACCTGGTGCATGCACATGCAAGAGCGCTCCAGGTTGAGTGTGCACAGTGGCGACGGTAGTGACTCGGTTTCCTTTGCAGTGTGCCGACACACTCCACCTGGTGCATGCACATGCAAGAGCGCTCCAGGTTGAGTGTGCACAGTGGTGACGGTAGTGACTCGGTTTCCTTTGCAGTGTGCCGACACACTCCACCTGGTGCATGCACATGCAAGAGCGCTCCAGGTTGAGTGTGCACAGTGGCGGCGGTAGTGACTCGGTTTCCTTTGCAGTGTGCCGACACACTCCACCTGGTGCATGCACATGCAAGAGCGCTCCAGGTTGAGTGTGCACAGTGGCGGCGGTAGTGACTCGGTTTCCTTTGCAGTGTGCCGACACACTCCACCTGGTGCATGCACATGCAAGAGCGCTCCAGGTTGCGAGTGTGCACAGTGGCGGCGGTAGTGACTCGGTTTCCTTTGCAGTGTGCCGACACACTCCACCTGGTGCATGCACATGCAAGAGCGCTCCAGGTTGAGTGTGCACAGTGGCGGCGGTAGTGACTCGGTTTCCTTTGCAGAAATTGCTGGTGGCGACGAGGCCGCGCGTCCCGGAGAGCAAGCAGGGCTCCCCCCGCGGCGGCTCGCCCCTCCACGGCGTCAAGCCCGGCCAGGGAGGCGCGACCCTGCCCGAGGCCGCCACCCTCTTGGCGCACACCTCGCCCGGCATCAACATGGCCAACCCCGAGAAGGCCTGAGCGCGCCGTGGCGCGCCGCCAGTTGGTGTCCTCCAGTGTAGGACTGTGTGGCTGCCTACCTCAGACTCCGCAGGCGCTTGGCCTTGGACTAGAGTCCCAAGTCCCCACTGTAGGACTCTATTGCCGACCAAGTCGCTCCGAGGGAAGTCCGCCCGTTGTTTAGCCGCGGCAGTGGCTGGCTTGTCGATGAGGTGCGAGGATGTGTGCGTGTGTCTGTGTGCTCGTGTGTGTGCGCGCGTGTCTGTGTGTGTGTGGATAAACCAATGGCTGTGAAAAGGCAAATGTCTCAGTTTGCCGCTTCGGGTGGGCCGGGCCGTCGGCGCCGTCGGCCGGGCCAAGACGGGGCGCAGCAGGGACAGCAGACGAGGGGAGGGGCACTGCCAATGGGCACCGCCCTGGGGCAGTGACACGGATTCTCCCGACAGGGAAAACTAACGTCAAACGAAACTACCAGCAGATCTGCTGTGACCAGTGAGCCTTTGTCAACCTGTCGAATCATTTATATCCGAACCACGAACCATCAAGTTCCATTCCATGGTCTTTTACAGGACATTTCCACGACTAGCATTAATTTAGAGTAAGCTTCATTTTCTAGTCCGTCACTCTGAAGAAAGATAATTACTACCTATTACTTAAGGCAACCCTGTATGTTTAGTTACTCCGAGAGCACAGGCTAAAGGTGTGTTCTTTGCGTGTTTTACTGGGTACCTGCAGAGTACACCACGCTTTTCTTGCTCAACTCATTGTAATGTTTTCTGTAGACTTAGTTGAAAATGATAAAAAATAATAGGTTTTAGCCAGATGCATGACAAATATATTTAATGAAACCTTACAGAGACCTATACTTTGAAGTGATGTTGTTTTATGGAAAGTAATGTATTGATTTACTAACTGGCAGTTCTTACTGCTTAGAAATGACGCATCTATGGGGAATATCACACAATGCTGAACAGGCATCATAGCAAGTGCCCTGTATCCATATTTATTTTCAGGAGGGGGGGATAAACGGCAGTGGCTTGGCCTCTGTCTAGTGACAATTAGAAATGAGGAAGAAAAATAATCATAAGAATAAAAATAATGTATTGTATCAAAGTACAAGAATAATAATCGAGCTATGTTCAGTCATCTTTATCAGACGGTGAATCTGATGATTCTTCTGATGAACTTGCTTCATCGTCCCCACTCCCTATTCGTTTCAGTTCTTTGGCTATTTGTGAGTCTTTTATCTCTGCAGGCTGGAAAGCAAATAAGTATAAATGGCTATGTGTCCTACATAATACATAAATTCAGTAAAAGAACACAAAATATTCCTTACATCAATTTTATAATTCCTAATCCAACTTTTCAGCACCCGCATCACATCATTGGCAAGGGGGGAATGCATGTTGCTTAGTTTTCTTCTCAATTTACCTAAATGTGGCATTGCTTCATACAAATGTTTTTTCACCAACTGAAATCACAAATTGAATTCAAAACATTAGGTGAGATACACTTGTACAATAATAATGGGAAATGAATGATGCCTTGTAAATGATGCTCACTTCCGAAATCATTTTCTTCTTCAAACCAGTTATGACCAACTCTGAGGCATCCTCCTCATCAGCAGGTGTATCATCCTCATCCATATCTTTGCCATCGGTTATATGAATCTCATCACAATCCATCACATATAGGCAATCTCCTAAAACCTCCTGACCCTTATCATCCAAACTCAGTTTGCCATCTAAAATTTTCTCTGCAACAGTAAATCAAAATTAAAAACTATGCTCATTAAAGAATTTATGAAGTTTGTCTTATGGCAGTAGAAAAAAAAATCACTTACGGCATATTTCTATGTAAGAATGCTGAGAAATTCTAAAACGATCTTCATCACTGGAATGACTTAACATAAAACGGTAAATATTATGCCGTTTCTGTATGTTTTGAGGACCACTAATATCAAAGACTTCTTTTTCTTTTGGAGTAAGAGCAGTTTTTGAGGATTTCCTGTGATGCTGCAAAGAAAATAACAAAATAATACTTTTTTACACTTATTCCTATCCAAATTAATGTATATTGTCAAGGACATTTATTCTTACATCATGTCCATTGAAATGAAATATGGATGCAATAAAAGAAGTTGCAAAATAATTGCTTTTCTTGCGTAACACTGTGTCTACAAAGAACACTCGAGTCATGGACACAATGGTGTAGTCCTCATCATTAAGCATGCTCAAAAGGTGAAAAGCTAGATTGTCCCGCATTTTGATATAGTCCTCTTGCACAAGCTGAACTAAAAGCTTTAATGTGTTTTGTCTCACAGACTGTAAACTGTCTTTCAAACATACACACATGTCAGGAAGAAGTTCATCTCCAAGAGATGTATGCCTAGAACAAAAGAATATAGTATCATCACAGAGTACAAGAGGACTCTCATCATGTAAAGTTGAAAAAAAAATAACAAAGTCTTACCTAACACACAGATCAGTAAGACAAATCAATGTGTTGTTTTTCAACAAAGATTCCTTCGTCTCAGATAATAATAAACCCAATATTTCAATCAATCTTTTAGCAACAGGTTCATTTTGAAGTCCTATTTTTCCTAATGTAACAATCAATCCACCTTTCAATTCCACTCCACAAGAACCAGACCAGAGTTCAGCATTTTCTATACAAAAGAGAAAATGTACATGAGATACATGTTTGGTGAAAATAATAGACATTGGTTTGTGTTGTGCCTTATTGGATGATCCTACCTTCTTGAGATTGAGAAAGCATTTGAAGAAGTTGTTTTGTTGTCCGATTTTCCACTCTTCCTGGATAATAAAGACATGCATTTCCTAAAGTGATAATGTAGCGTTTCATTGCCTCCTCATCATGAACTACTCCTGAATTCAACTTCAAAATTTCAAAAATGCTGTCTTCACATCTCTACAAGAAGAAAATAAGATCAGCCCACTTGTTTGTCATTAACTTCTCTTTCAAGAAAATACCAATCATTACTTACCTTAATTAAATTCTGAGCCCATTCTGGAGGATTAGCTGCATCATTACTTTTTATATTCTCTAGGTGTAAATGCAGCCCATACCTAATATCCACTGCCCTAGAAATGAGGGGTACTGGTACTTTAAACAAATATAAATCTGTATTGAGTTCTTGTTCAAGGCTCTTCTTTTCAGAAACAGGTAGTTGCCTCCAAGAATACCACAAGACATCCATGACTAGCTGGCTGATGAAAGTGCTCACCTGAAACAGAAGAAGATGAGTACCAGAATTTGGTGAAGATATAATAATCAAGAAATCAGAAGTATACTGTACTTACATTAGGAATGTTGTAAACTTCATTGTGATAAAAGTCCAGAACAAATTGTGGATCTTTAATTGTAACAACTTCTGTAAGGCATGAGAGAGTGACCCATGCGCAGTCATTATAAGGTTTCTCCATTCCGATATGTGACTTTAGAATAGGAATGAGCTTTTTGGATCTAGATAATGCATCAAGTCATTAGAATAATAGCAAAGTGAACAAAATATATTTTAATTAAGTTGCAACTACCTTATATTTTCCTCTTTCCACAGACTGCAAGCCTTAAGGAAAGCCTTCTTAAGTTGAAGCTGTGACAGAAGCTTTATTAAGGCCCATGGCAGATGATGCTTTGGAAGCAGCATTTCTGTATCTGGGACCATGTTTCTTAAGATAGCCCTTTCAAAGCTCTGAAAAATTATTAAAAGATTAAATACTAAAAATTATATTGAAAAAAAATTTAAGTAACAGGCACATAACAACAATACCTCTAATACTTTCTCCACAACAGTGATTTCAGAATCAAAAATTAAAGGCACAATATCTACAGTCCACTGCTTCAAGAGTTGTTGGTGGGAGGGATACTCCAAGAGCAGGTCGGTGAATTCTTGAACCATCATTTTTCTAACAAGAACTGCCTCATCTCGGCAATGAGCACCTATCTCCTGCAGACAAGAAATACAAATTAATACAGCCCTACCAAGAACATCATGAGCAAATTGATAAAGGAAGGAACATATAACTCACTGAGAGGCAATGCTCATCCATGAATTTCACATTTAAGTAGAGTATGCGCAGAAGCAGCTGTAGTGCAGCTTTGCGCACAATTACTTTGTCATCGTTACAGAACTCTGATAGCTCTTCAATAATCGCTCTAGCACAAGGCAGAGGGATATCAACAGAAATGGTCTCTTTTTGAAGATCTTTTGCAACATCATTGAAGTTCTTGAATTTTTTCTTCAGCACCTGCTGGATGGAATGACATTCAGCATATGGAGTGACAAACATCTCCATCATGAGGTATCGACTGGCTCGATTGTCTGAGCATTCTTTCAAGTGAGAGGCTAATTTGGACATTGCTCGTGAACGCACTGAAGCAGACATGTCCTGTATTCTAGCTAATACTCCAGCGAACATGAGTTTGTGCAGCATATATTCATTTTCTTGAGGCTTGTCATCAACAAAGTTAACTTTCATTGAACTTAAAATTTTCTCCATTACTTCTACACAAAATAATCGAACAGAAGCTTTGTCATGGCAAGACATTACTACAACAACGCTGGTCAGTTTGAAAAGAAAGTTGTCTGGTAGCTTTGAAAGCAGGCGAACAGTAGTATCTATCAATTTGGTGCGTGAATCTGCTTGGTCAGGAGCATGTAAACAAAGATGTTGAAACAAAATGACAAGACCGGTGTATGCACTTTGACCAGTGACACCGCAGACATGGTACACAAATATCATAAAAGTCTCCTTTACAGCACTTAGATAGCTTGAGGAATATCCTTTGGAGTCTTTTTGGAATCCAAGTATGAGGACTTCAAACACATATCTCATTATTAAGCGTACATTTTCTTCAACATCTCCATATCTGTCAGAACATAATGTTAGCAAACCAAAAAAAGCATTCATAGCTAAAGAACTGGAACTGTATCCAAAGGATTCGTCGATTCCTTGAGAAAGCAGGTCTGCCCGTAAAGTTTCTTGGGTGGCAATACTTGACAAAGCCTCTACTGTCAAGTGCACAGCATCTGTTTCTTGTCCTAAATCGCCGACACGGAGAGCTGTGATTAAGTCATGCTGGGCATCAACCAACTTAGCTTTTAAAGCGTCTGCTTCATGCCTTGGCAGAGACACACAAGGGGAGGTGGGCGGTTGCAGATCATCAGAGTTCTGTCGTGCACCTCGTCCTCGACCTCGCGCAGGTGACTGGATCTCTGGTTTCTTGACCAGATCTCCACATTTCAACATACGAAGAGACTTCATATACAAGTTAGATTGGTATATGAGGAATGGTCCACCATCAGGAACTGCTAGGAACAAAAAATAAAGACGAGCAGCACAGATTCCGTTTGTGCGATGATGCTCCTCTCCTAACTTCGCAATTGATGTGCACAGAAGATAATGGATAAAAAAGAGATATCTCTTAAAGTCGAAGCCTTCTTCTACTAGGCTGGGCCAATTTGTGCGATTCCGAATCCTCAGGCATATGTCTGAGCGTAATTCCTGTAGAATGTCCACAATCTGGACAGACTCCAAGTGCTCTTCCAGTTCTGTGGGTAGCTCAGCCTCATCACTAAAGTACCCTTCTTTCCAAAGAGCATGTACTGTAGAATCAGGCATTAGAGACAATCGCAGTCTATCCATTAAATCCATCTTGCGATTATGGATGAGCAAATCTTCTCAGGTTATGTAGTATCTGAACAATTTGGAGTAATTTTGTGGAAATGCATAACATGATGTTAAAACAAGTTCATCAGATTTCGATTTTCAGACGAGAACGCCCGACATAGCTGTCATCTTACTATAGTCCCCTGCAATCTAACCCAGCAGTAGTAAATAAACAATTTCAAACAAACTCAACAGCGGACCGCCAAAAAAACAAAACAAAACATCTGTGGAAATACGAGCCTTCAATTTCTCATACACTTCATAGTGTAAATAATCGATGGCACAACTGCAAATAATCGGCATTGTTATCATTGTGGAGGGGGGGCGTTCGGTCAGTCAAGAAGCAGACATGATTGAATGTGTTACTGTAATTGATCCCTTAACGTTATAGCCAAGGTAGGCTACAATGTTATTTTCTAACAATCAAGGACTCATTGTTAGAATGCGTGCTTTCAAAACAGTTGTTATTCGTGGTGTTCATATCTTTGCTAGAGACCAGAGGTTAGACGAACTGTTTGACAGATCATCAGGTTTCAACACTTTCCTACCCTTGAGTACTTCTAATCAATTTATTTTGATTTTTAAGTTCAAATTTTGGTTTTAGCATGTTACAACGGTTTTGATGGTAACAGTCCTTTCTTTAAAATGAATATTTTGCAACCAAACCAGGTTTTCACCTTAGTTCTGGTGTAAGGTGTAATTAAAATTTTTAATTTCATTAATGGGTTGCTGAAGATTATTTTGTTCTAGCACAAAATCTTTGATTGAATATTAGAGTGTTCCATGCGGAGTCAGCACCTTTACAGCTATGTGCTTTTCCTGTCCAGCAAGGTCCATCCCACAAGTGTCTTTTGTAATTATGGTGCCACCTGACGGCACATGATGTATGTGTAGCAGCTGTGTGTTGACTCACTCATTATCCCCTCCTGTCCTTTTTAGGGTGGTGTAGGTGTTGAAAGTAAAAGAGCGCATTGTCAGGGCAAAAAATATATTCATTGTCACGGGATTAAATTGATTTCATTCTATTCTAAGATTTAAAAAGTAGATATTCTTGTTGCATTCAAGAAATGCATTTTTTTGCTGTGTGTTTGATGTGAGTTTCTTCCAAATAAATTCAAGTGTGTCTCGCAGTAAACATTTCTTTTTTTTTTCAGGTTGAAACATGGCTGCAAATGAACGATGGCAGCCAACTGTGCAAAGCGTATTTTTACTAGTTGTACTTTTTTTAAATTTCTTTGAAGACCATGCTCATGAAATCAACAGAGATGTGTGTCCTCAGCTGTATCCTGATACATTTGATGAATGTATTCCCAAGGATGGTAAAGCTGCGGGGGTTTACAAAGAGTACTATAACGAAGACGGAAGCACACCTTCTATTGAAGATTGTGTTGTAGCTTGCTGCAAGCAAAGTGACTGCAACATCATAATGTATGTCACAAAAAAGGAGGAGGAGCCCACTTGTTATCATGTGAGTGGATTCATTTTCAACGCATTCAACATAACTTAAAGATTTGATTCACATTAATTTAATTTTGTCTGGCTCACAGGTGGCATGCAACTCCAGCGCCCAATGTCTTCCCACAGTCAGGAAACAAGAATCAGTTTTCACACGTATAGCATTAATTCGTCCAGTTGAAAAAGAGTATGGTTCCTGGTCAAGTGTGCTACCAGCAACGCAGTCCAACAGTGACTCTTATCTGTGAGTAGGCATTTTTGGAGCGGGCTGTGTTGCTTTTGTGGGACAGATAGCCTTATCTAAGGAAGTGCTGTAGGAGGTGGATTTGCCAATGAGGAAGGGTGGGGGTGGAGTGGAGGAGGCATTCTCTTCTTTCACTGACTTTTTTCCGCCTGGAATATATTTTGTGATAGTGTTATCTGAGCTCTGAAGGAGTCTGGTATTTAGAGACCTAACAATGATCATCTGAGAAAAATGTGTCTCGTACGGACTTTACGTTTTGATCAAATAAAATTTGGTGTAACTAAACAGCTGATTTTTTTTCTTTCAGGTCTGATTCTTTTGGTGCTGCAGCAAATGAAGATAAATCTATGTATGATAATGACTCTCCCACATCGTGTGAAGTTGGTCTTGTTAACTGTGGGGACAATGAGGTGTGCGTCCCTCTTCATAAATTTTCCAGAAATGGTTATTGCACGTGTATGCGAGGCTTCAGTCGCAATCAGGCTGGTTATTGCACTGTTGCTGCTTCCAATAATGTACTGTCTCGCGTCTCACCCCTTAATGCACAGTTCCGTGATGCTCAAGATGGAGTTGAACCATCTATGAAGGTTGGTCATTTATTTTCCTTTGTGCTCGGCCCATTCTTTAAGACTCCTGCATTATGGAATATCTTTGTTTTAGGTTCTATTCTATTTGCTTCTCCACTGGTTGCTAATTTATTAACATTTTTCTTAATATGTTTTTTAATAGCGAATGTTTTTGGAGGGTGGATCATCTCCGTTCCAGGCATCAGATGATGAAGAACACCCTCCAGCGTCATCATCATCATCATCCTCTCCTCAGCAGATGCGCACTATCACTGTGTCTGCTGTTAATAAAACGGTTCAGCTGCCAGAAAACAAAGTTAAACTTTCAGCTTATACAGTTCCCTATGGTAAACCATTCTGGATAATTTTCATTTTGTAAAAGTTGAGTAAAATTGTTTTCATAAAGTTGTTTTCTTATACATTTTTTAGGAGAGAATTATAATTACGAGTGGGTACTTCTATCCAAACCTGGAGGAGAGGATAATGCTGGCACCATGAATAATAAAAATGGAGCAACTGTGGAACTCAGTAACTTAATTGAAGGGTTATATATTTTTAATGTTAGTGTGAGAGCACAAGATGCATTTGCTTCTACACTAGTAAATGTCACTGTTTTACCTCGTAAGTATTTGATGAGACTTCTTGAAAATTTCTGCTATTACTTAAAGTGCTGCTGTTTAGGTGGAATTTTCTCTTTCCATTTTCAAGCTAAACGGTTTAATCAGTCACCAGTCGTCATTGTGACTCCCGTGTCACAAATTGTCAAGTCTCCTAATCATGGTGCAGTTTTAGACGGTTCCTCAAGCACAGATGATGAAAAGATTGTGAAATGGCACTGGGAGTTACAGCAAGGCCCGCTTGACTATAAGGCAGAGCTGCAAGACATGCCAACTTTACAGTTAAATAACTTGTACCAACCAGGAAATTACACTTTTAAGTAATGCTTTCACATTATTATTTGTGTTGTCTAAATTTTTCCAAAGTTAACACTTTTTATTGAGTACAATGTTTGTTTTTAGGCTAACTGTGACTGACTCTGATGGTGCTATGAACTCGACCACCGCTAACATAACAGTTGTTGCGAGTAAGGACTACCCTCCTGAAGCAAATGCTGGTGCAGACATCATAGTTCATTTGCCCCAAAATAATGTTACGCTTAATGGAAATTTAAGTAGTGATGACCATGGTATTACAAGTTGGGAGTGGACTAAAGATGGTCAACAGAACAAGGCTGTAGATATGCAGGTGAGTGTTTAAAAAGATGTATTCTGTGTCACTAACTGATTACTAATTTCATACCACATTCTGCATCTTTTATCTTGCTTTATTGTCTAGAACACTAGAACTCCATATCTTCAATTGTCCAACTTGGAATTAGGAATGTATACATTTACTTTGAAAGTGATGGATACCTCTAATCAGTCATCTCAAGCTGTTGTACATGTATTTGTAAAACCTCCCACCAGCAATCCACCTGTTGGTAAGTATATCTCATTCATTGTATGTGTTGGCTGCGGGGTCCAAAGTCCAGGCTTACCTGAGATTAATTATGATCCATCTTTCTGTAGTCATAGCTGGACCTAATCAAACTATATCGCTGCCACAAAATTGGTCTCCCCTTGATGCTTCTAAAAGCACTGATGACAACAAAATTGTTGGATGGAAATGGGAAGAAGTGAAGTAAGAACCCATTTGATACTGTTCAAAATTGTTTCCTTTTGGATTGAACTACTTTTTTTCTTACTTTGTGCTCTTTTGTTTTAAAGGCGCCCAGCTGGATCAAATCCAGTTGCATTTACTACACCAAATATGTCTCATACTAATGCAACTGATCTAACAAAGGGGGATTATGAATTCCGTATCACAGTAACTGATGAAAACAATAACACAGCCAGTGGATCAGTTTTTGTAACGGTTACTCAAAGTGAGTATATACAGAGCTGCTATATTGAAGAGAAAGGAAAGAAAGAATCATTCGTAATTTTTCAAACTAATGTCGTTTTCCCCACTTCAGATCAAAATGCGCCTCCCAAGGCAAATGCTGGAGGAGATCAGACTGTCATTTTGCCTGCAAGTGTAATAATGCTGAACGGCTCTCAGTCTAGTGATGACTTGGGGATAGTCAGCTGGAAGTGGACACGAGAACCTGACAGTCTGGCAATTGGGAGAGTCCTCGGCTCAACAGACACATCATCTGTACTAATGGTGCGGGGGAAATTATACTTTTGATTTTTATTAGTATTTAAGTGTTTACGCTTGCATAATGATCTGAACCCTTTGATTTTCATCTATTTCTACAACTACATCGGCTCTTGATTTTATTAGCTTACGGATGTAGTACCCGGACGCTATGTGTTCAGGCTGAAAGTTTCTGATGAACAGGGTTCCTCCTCTGAGGATACTGTGTCTGTTATTGTAAAATCTGGTAGGTCAATTTTTTATTTATGTAACTCATTTATTTCCTTGTACACATTATGCCAATGTGAGTTACTGGTTTCTTTGCAGATCCTCTCCGCTTCCAACTGGTGGAGTTAACCCTTAACATAGTTGGGGAGCAGCTAACAAAATCTCAAGAAGATTCATTAAGACTTAAGCTGTCCCTGCTTCTCAAAGATAACCCTGTTGTCCGAATTAGAGAATTGCGAGAGGTGACTAATTATCAATTATAAATTACATATTATGTAACTTCTCTCTGTTGAACCTTAAACCATTTTACCTCTTCTTAAAGTTTCGCTTCGTTCTTTTAGTATTTTGTGAATTTTGTGTTACAGGAGCACTATTCAGGACGCGCCCAGATGGTTTTTTATGTGGAAGATAAAACTGACAAATCCATTATCCCTGGTCCCATTGTTGTGTCCACTTTAAAAACAAAGCTTGAACAGGATGTAGGATTGCTTGAATTGTCAGTGGCTAACATTCAAACCGAAATATGTCAAAATAATTGCTCGGGTGAGTACATAAATTTTATATATGAGGAGTTACTGAAGGATAAATTGAATTAGTTGTTTATTTGATGCTATTTCTTATGCTTTAGGTCATGGGGTTTGTGATAAAGTTACTAGACTTTGTCTCTGTGAAGCTTTTTGGATGCAAAACCTATGGAGGAAATATTTTGGAGACAAAGAATCAAACTGTGGTGAGATTTTGGTTTCTAGAGCTGCATCTATCTCCATTTTAAACTGATTTCCGTTTTTTTTTCCTGCCTTGTGTTAACTTGAGTTTTTTTTGTTTTCAGAATGGAGCATTTTGTATGTGATCATCGGATTGTTTTTGAGCACATTAATTCTACTGAGTATGGTGTGGGGTCTCATCTGCTTATGCCAGAAGGCCCTATCTCCCCGTAAACTCAAGATTCGTAAGCGTTATGTGCCTGTTGATTCAGCAGAAGAGGACTCAATGATTCCTAAATGTTAGTAGATTTTATATTTATTTCATTTTGGAAGTACTGTTCTTAGTTTCAACAAGTTTCTTTTCTCATCCTTTTCAGACTCTCAAGGACCAATGTTTACAGATTCTGACACAGATTCTGATGTCGTATTTGAAAATCAACGTGGGAAAATAAATGGTGACGTCTTGAACGGGTACCATCAGAAATCCTCTAAAAATGGAATTAAAATGGGTCGACGTATCAAAACTTAAATTTTGTGTTAGTGGAATCTCATCATATGATCCGTGCAACTGTTTTTTTGACTGTGTGACAATATCTTTCATGTATTGTGGGACTTTGTACAACTTTGATCTGTATGAAGTGATTCAAAATTGTGTGTGTACTTACAAATGGGATGTGCAGAACCTTTTTATTCCCTTGATTATGTTGTAAGTTAGTTTTTCTTTGTTGTTTTGAAACATTCCAATATGCAGTGAAACCTGTTATTGTAAGGAAAATGTTATAAGCAGGTCTACTGTATGTGTTGTGTTTAGGTCCTATACATACTGATTTCGGGAAAACTTATTTTTATATGTTTTGTTTTATTTGCTTGTTGCTGATGGATTTCAATTTGCTTTTACACATAGGTAGGTTTATAATTATTATGCCAAGCAGGTTGGTTTTTGTGAATTTCCGCTTTATTGGATTAAGTACTGTATTGCTGACTGTTGTGTTAATATTGCAACATGTCCAATCATTGAATGTTTTTTATCGGTCTTAGTGATTTTTAATTAAATTTTTTAAACCTTCTTTTGATTCTAAAATTTTTACTATTGTTGATAGTTTTGTTGTTTAGATCAAATGTTTGTTACCTTTTGTATTAAATCGATTCAGTGAGTTGTTTACACTTTGTGTACTGTGTGGAAAGTGAAACTTTTGCACCATGCTGGGGCCTAAGATAAAGTGTCTTCTTTGTTTGGTATTATTTTGTACATGCGAAGATATACTTCCACTGTTAAGAAGACTGAAATTTAAAGTTGCAGTATCCACCTCAGATGTTAAATGTGAATCCTTCAGTATTTAATTTAGGACTCTTAAACCCTCAAACAATAGTATTACTTTTTGTTAGTTTGAACAAATATTTACCCATTTACCACTAGCTCTACCCACTCCTGTAGTTAAAGTAGGCAAAAGCATTGAATAATGCAAGGGTGATCTTTGTGTTGTGTATTTTATTTTTTTACATATTGTGTGTAATCTTCACTAAGCAACAGAAAGGTCTTGTACTTAAAAGACTATTGAGTACACAATCTTAATTTTAGTTTCATAAAATGAAACAGTAAATGAAAGACGAGAAGTGATGTACCTAGCACCTAGTGCTGCTGACCCAAAGATCTATGTATGATTATACTGTGCCAATGGTGTTTTGGACTCATTTCTACCTGGCATGCTTAATGAACATCTGAAGAATATTGTCAGGGACACTTCACGATGCAGTAATAAGTAATCGTGTGATATATCATATTCCTACCCCATTGTTTTTAAAGATAAAAATATCTGCAATTGTTCCTGATGTGTGTTTAGTTTTGGCTTAGTTTGATAACTGACTTAAACAGTTTAGTAAACAATCAATATGTACTTTTTTTCCCATTTTCACAAGATTTTAAAATTTCCTCTCATGAGGGAAAGAGCCTGTGATTTTTTCATGAACATCATTCCTCCTATTAAATTTTAAGATCGCATCAGAGGCAAGTGACAAGTGTGTATTATGTTTTTAAATAAATATATATCTAGTCATTTTAAGTCATCGAATCACTGACAATGTGAGTGTTATTGATTTTGGAAAATAAAAGTTTTAAACTGAGATAAAGATAGTTTTGAATTACACCACGCCAGCAAATCTTCCGGCACGACGTAGGTAAATGACAGTATTTTCTACACTGTGACTTCGTGCCTCGGTCAGAAACTGTTCTTGGAAACGAAGTCAAATCGACGATCATCGGCGAACCATCTCTGGGATTTAGCCTTGTGCATGGCTAGTTTCTAAGGGCTCACGCTTGACAGAGCCGTTTGTTGGAAGTCCAGCCAAACTAACGGACCACCGAACACCTAAACTGGCACCGCCCGATACACCTCCATTCCATTCTCACATGCAGTGCATCTCTTCCTAGTCTAGGTATCATGTAGATATGGAGAAATCACAGCGGATTGGAAACCCTCCGACCAAACTCTAGAAGAGCATGGCGACGACGCCTCTCAGCAAAAGAGGCATTCTTTTCCCCCATTTTCTGGGAGGCGTCAATGTGCTCTTTGTAAAATTGTGGGGGACCATCTCGGGAACCCTGGCAGTGAGTGCAGTGAAGTCGCGCGGCGTCGCGGGGGCGCCGCGGGCAGGGGCAGGGCCTTCACGGCCACCACGGCGTGGGGCGGTGCGGTGGCAGCGGCGCGCGGCGCGGACCACACCCGCACCCGGGCTGGGAGGGCCGGCCCAAGTAGGGCCCAAGAGGGCCCCGGGTTGGGAGGGGATAGGGCTGCTGGCTGCTGGGCGAGCAGAGTTATCGATTGCCTGATGAGAGCAGCTTGTTGCCTAGGTATCCGGAACCCCGTAAACAAGCTTGGCGCCGTGGCTCGACGCCGAGGGCCGGGGGCCGAGGCTGCGCGGCCTGGCGCCACTCTGTCCCGGAGCCACCGGGCCGGCGGGGCAGTGGCGGGGCAGTGGCGGGGCGGCGCGGCGCGGGGCCACACCGACCCAGCGACGCCAGGCGCCGCCGACTGGCGCCGCGACGCCCTGACCACCCCCGCGACGCCGACGCCCCGCGCCTCCCCGCCGCGCGCCGCGCCAGCCGCGCCGGCATGCAGGCTCATGCCGAACAGCGCCGTGTTTCTCTCCCACCCCAGGGCACGCCCCACGAGGGCGAGAGAGACACAGCGGCCACACTGTTCGGAATCGGCCTGCTGGCTCGGCCGCGCCGCCGTGCCACGCCGCTCCAGGCAGCTCGGGCAGCTCCAGCGTCCCCTGGTTTGGAGCGCGCGCGTCGAGTTGGTCCACGCCACTCGAAACTGGAGCGGGCAAACACGGCAGAGTGGGCCAGAAGACCGGCGCTGGCGACCAAAACTCGAGTAGCCAAGTACTCTACAAATCAAAGAGTGTACATAGTATGCTCTAACTGGAGCATGCCTGTAAGCACGCTCTAGCTAGCGCATGCCTGCCAAGCATGCACCAACTAGTGCATACATGCCATGTACACGCTTCCTGATGCAGAAAACTCCCTATCCCTTATGCAGTAGGGCTCAAACCGAACGTGTGACCCCACCGATGGGTTCCTCGTTCTGAGAGCAATCCATTGGTGGGATCACACGTTCGGTTTGAGTCCCATTCAGCTACTCTGAAGCTCAAACCGCGTCCGAAGTTCGGTCACCTCCACCGCTCTTCTGGTGTAAGTTTTCACGACCCATTCGAGTGGGCAATCGGTTCCCTATCGCATAGCCTCAGTATTCGTCGATTATTGTGCTCGCTGAGATAGGCTGCACGAATGAATCATGTTTGATTTCGCCTACTTACGTGGCAACGCTCACCGCGAGCATTTCCCAGAAAAGCGCGGACTCCCCAGCGAGAGGAAGCGCCGTGGGGGTAGGCAGCCCAACCAGCGGCACTTCCCCGCGCGTGTGGTGGGTTGCCTCCCCACGCCTGGTAGCAGGTAGCAGTGCTTTGCAAGCCTTCTTTCTGCGTTTGAGGCGTTCTTTTCTTTCCAGGGATCCTCAACTTACCTCATAAAGGCATCATAACGTTATCATAAGAGTTAAAGTTATTACCCTTAACTTCTAACATCTTTTCAAAAGGGTAAGTTATTTCTTTATGTCTCGAATTTGTGCGGATATACTTTTGCAAGTACTTTCATAAGTCCGTACCCTTAACCTATAGCGAACATTGTCTTAAGTTACGTTATGACAGCAGTGTTAGTTAAATGTTGAGTTAAGTTAAGGATCCCTGTTTCTTTCTAGTTTCGAACCTGGGTGCAGGGTGGCAGTCTTCATCTCGAGCATGGCTCTGCTTTCGCATTGGCACCTGCTACCCGCCCCGCCGCGCCACGCCACTGCAGGGCGACACAACAGCTTCCTTGTCGGGCCGCTCGGCCGCCTCGCCGCCTGGCCGCGCGACGTGTCATTCGCACATCCGAGGTGCCAAGTCCGAGTCCGAGTCCGCGTCCGCCGATGTGGCGCCGGAGGGCGTCGCGTCGCGCCGCTCGGCCGATAGAGTCCCTTCTGTTCTGTCTCAGCGGCGCACCGAACGCGACAACGCGACAACGGCACCGAGCACAACCAGCAGACTGATGCCGAGAGGCGTTTTCTTCGCCCCGTCTCGCGCGCACCTACACGGGGCGCCCCATGGGTGCGCGAGGGAGACAGAACGACGCCAGCGGCTCTCGGAATCAGCCTGCTGGCTTACGGTTTCTCCCTCTGCGAAATTCCACACCGCCGCAGTTTGGCGCGGACTTCCCCCTCGCGCGACGACGCGATGGCGAGTCTCCAACGGCGCGGTGGCATTTAGGCAGTTTTCGGCCAGGTAAAAGAGCGGGATGGGCGGCATGAGGGAGCGGATACACCGGGGGTGGGGGGGTGGGGGGATGTACGTACCTGGATAGAGCCACCCAAAGAGATACGTAGGATGAAAGCCTTACTTCACCGTACTTCACCCCTGTAAGTACGTACAGTATGCAAACAGTGACACATCTGGATCTGCCACTGTGGCATAGGTCTATTTTCAGTGGAACGATGGAGTGAAATCGATGCGAATGTATATGTAATTCGTTTTCGCTTTGACCGAATGAAATGTGCACTGCGCTGCACCCCCAGACGATGGTCCGTTCGTCCACTGCTGGACAGACTAGACGTGACTAGACGGCAGGCCGGCAGTGGGCGCGGGGCGTGGTTGGGCGTGGGGCGCGGGGCGTGGGGCGTGGGGCGTGGGGCGTGGGGCGCGGGGCGTGCGGGGTGCGGGGCGTGGGGCGCGGGGCGTGCGGGGTGCGGGGCGTGGGGCGCGGGCGTGGGGCGTGGGGCGTGGGGCGTGGGGCGCGGGGCGCGGGACGTGCGGGGTGCGGGGCTGCTGGAAAGCTGGCTGGAAGGCTGGAAGAATGGAAGGGCGGACAAAACAGTAAAACCAGCGAAGCAAGCGAAGCAGGCATCGTGCCGGAAAAGAAGGGGGAGACGGGGCACTTTTTGGCGCCAGGGTTGGGCCGGGGGGAGGGGAGGGGGCAAGGGGAGGGACGCAAGTGGGGCAAGCGTCCTATTCGGAGATGACAAAGTGAAAGCGGTAGCAGGGAAGCTGCCGACGATCAGAGGCGGATCCAGAGCCGGCTCGAGGGGGGGGGGGGGCAAAAGTGGCGCCGTTTTGCCTACTTGCAGTGGCAGTGTCACTTTTTGTCTACGATTCAGGTCTACGCGCAGGGGTCAATTTTCCTTTTGCCCAACACCCTCCCCCTTCCCCCCACGCCTCTTAACGATGCTGTTAGAACACTGGTAAAACTAAAGCGTAACTCTATGGTTGAGTCAAGCATAAAGTTGGACATTACGCTTGAAATGAGCAGACTGGAAATTCCCCCATGCATTTAGATACGGGGAAACTTGGCGGATGAGCCTGTTACGCTTGAAACCAGAGGGTAATACTACGCTTTGGTTTTACCAGTGAAGCCATGGCGTCCCCTCCAAGGCGTTTCCTCCCTATGCACAGACCTACAGTGTACAGAAGCCACCCACAGAGAACTCTCGAAAGTATGGATTCTGGCGGGGTGCGTTCAGGATTGACTTTGTAGATCGACTTTGTGAACGCATCTTTACCACACCAAAAGAGCCTCTCAAGCACTGAAAATCCAAACGTGGTCTACATCGCTCGAGTGGTGCGGACAATGACTTAGACCGCATCACACACGTAAAAGCGTAAAAGGGTAGGAGCTGGACCGCGTTTGTGATTTGGTGTACTATGACGACGGGCAAATGGCACCCATTTGACCGCATCACAGTTGGTGTGGTCTACACCACAATTAATTGGGTTCGAATACCTTTTCCAGTGTTCAAATGTTTAGATTGGAGGAGAGAGAGATGATGGGGGAAGGGACGGGGGTTTTTAGGGGTAGTTTGTAGTCTGCACCATATTTTCCATCTCATTATGGGAGCTGGTTTCCGGAGACCAATGACGTTGGCGGCTGTTCGTGGTCCATGTCCATGTCGACTCTGCTGATTGGCATGAGGGAGCTGGAGGGTCCATGGACGTGTCCATGGACGAGTCCATGGCGGCTGGAGGAGGCCTCTGCCTCGGCAACACGTTTCGCCGTTTGGCGCAATGCCGGCTAATGGTTGCCCCTGGGGCCCGGCAGTCAGACAGCACCAATCAGTCCTTCCCACTATCTTTTTTTATAAACATTGTTACTGGCATTTGCTTGACTTTAACAGGTAACAAACGGCACGAAATATGAGGAATTTTGCCTTCTAAGTTTTACAGAAGTTTGACGATTTGCCTGCCGCTCCCACGCGATCGGCTCCCTCCCGAAGTTGGACACCGGGACCCCAGAACGAGGACTCCAGAACATCAGGACTGCAGGCGAGCTCGACCATAGGACTCCAGGACTCTTGCTGAAATCCAGGACTCCTTGGAGTCCAGGACGCCTGCTGAACCCCAGGACTCCTGTTGAAGTCCAGGACTCCTGTTGAAGTCCAGGACTCCTCTTGAAGTCCAGGACGCCTGCTGAGCTCCAGTATCCTGCTGAACTTCAGAATTCCTGATGAACTCCAGGACTCCTGCTGAACGACTGGACTCGTGTTGAACTCAGGACTCCTGTTGAACTCCAGGACGCCTGCTGAACTCCAGGA